CTCACTGATTTTTCCTGCAATTCTGTCTCCCCTCATGCCCCCAGGATCTTTTAAAGGGGTGTTTTCCACTTAGCCAGAATCAGGAATAGGAAATGAGCGAATGTGGGGTTTAATGGCCTTGTGGGGCATTTGCAGAGCTGAAGGGGAAAGTACAGGAAGGGACAATCTTGGTGCAGTCCTATGCATGTATCTTAGCAAATGCTGGATGAGATGAAGGATGGTTGATAATTTTATTCCTGTTTTTTGTTGGTTATTTTGTTGTATAAGAACATTTCCCCCCACAAAATCCATGTTTCCATAAATAGCTCAACATTTCAAAAGACTGAATATGGGAGAAAGCAAGACTGACAGATCTGTACATCCAGGCAGAGTATGGAGTGCTTAGCATCGTCCTTGCATGTGCAGCCATGTTTGTGGTGCTTAATGAAGATCGGCCCCTCTTTTTTCTGACAGGTTCTTCAGCTACATGGCAGCCTGGTTCAGAAGCTGCACACAACCTCCCTAGGTGATTGGCTTCATCACCATACTGCTCTTTTTTCCTGATGCCCATTTGGAACCTGGTTTCCTGTAACTTGAGCCCATTATTCCATGTCCTGCATTTTGGGATGATGGAGAAGAGATCCCAGCCTTTGTCTGCATGACAACCTTTCAAGTACTTGAAGAGTGCTATCATATCTCCTCTCAGTCTTCTTTCCTCAAAGTTAAACATTTCCTGTTCTTCCAGTCTTCCTTACTGGGGTTTGTTTCCGGTCCCAGGATCATACCGAACCTTTTCCACTTTGTCTGCATTTTTCTTAAACGGTGTGCCCAAAGCTGGATGTGCTGCTCAAGATGAGGCTTAAAAAAGTACTGAGCAGAAGAGAAACTGTTACTTCACATGATTTGGAAGTGATGCTTCTAAGAATGCAGGACAAAGTAGCATTGGCCTTTATTCAGCATGTGAGTTACAATTCCAAGATCCTTCTTACTTGTACTACAGTGGTACCTTGGCTCACGAATGCCTCAGTTCACAACCAAAACGGGTCACAAACAAAAAATTCGTAAACATTTTGACTCAGGTTGTGAACTCTGCATTGGGTGGCGACCGTGATCATGGCCCTCTCCCCACCTCCACCCCCCGAGTGGGGAGAGGGCTGAGATCATGCTGAGGGCAGTGGGAAGATGGCTTAGATCATGTCCGTCTTTCTTGAACGAGCATGCCCATGATTGCACCCGTCTTCCCTGCAGGAGCACAACCGCAATCTCGGCCATCTTCCCCCATCCTCACAGCATGATCGTGCCCATCTCCCCCCCCCCCGCACACCTGCGTTTGTGCCCGTCTCTCCCCCCCCCCCCAGCGCACCGGGATGATGGGCACATGCAGGGCTGAGGGGCGCGATCGCGGTCATGCTGGGGGCGGGGAGATGGCTGTGCTCATGCTCAGGGTGTGAGGGGGGGAGATGGCCATGATCTTTGTTGTTCTTTGTCACTTTGCATTACATTTTTCTGATTAAAAAAATAGATAAAGAACAGATTAACCTTATTTACATTGAACCTTATGGGGAAATTTAACTTGGCTCTCAACCAATTTGGGTCATGACCAGAGTCCTGGAACAGATTAAGTTCATGAGCCAAGGTACCACTGTATTGTTAAGAGACATGTCTAGCATCTCATAATGATGCAGTTGGTTTCTTTTTCCTAAGTTCAGAACCTACTACTTGTCCCTGTTAAATTTCATTCAGTTGCTTTAAGCCCAGTACTCCAACCTATGAAGATCAATTTGAATTTTATTTCTTTGTTATATTTATAAAATTTATCATTTTTTCTGCCCTCCAGAGAATTAACTTTCCCACCCAATGTTGTGTTATCTGCAAATTTGATAAGCATTCTCTGTGCCTTCTCATTCAAATCATTAACCAAAAAATGTTGAAGAACAGTGGCCAAGAGCTCAAGGCACCCCCCTGGTTACCTCTTCTCAGACAGAGAAAGTAGCAGTGAAGAGCACTCTTAGAGTCTGATTTCATAGCCGACAGTGGATCCACCTGGTAATTGTTATATCTAGTTCACTTTTAGATAGCTTGCTAATCAGAATAACACGGGCCATTTGGTCAAAAGGTTTGCTGAAGTCAAGATACATTATGTCCACAACATTCCTACGGTCCACCAGGGAGGTTACCTGATCAAGAAATGGTTTCAGATTAGTCTAGCAGGATTTGTTCTGGAGGAATCCATGTTGGCTTCTAGTAATCACTGCATGGTTTTCAAGGTGTCTGCAGGCTGACCACTATATAATCTGCTCCAAAATTTTCCCATGGGTTGATGTCAGACTGACTGGTCCATAGGTCCAAGGTTCCCACTTCATTTTCTCTTTTTGAAGATGGGGACAATATTATCCCTCCTTGTTATCTGACACTTCACTCATCTTTCATGATTTCTCACATATTCTAGAACATTATCCATGCCTGTTTGCTTCTCTGTCACATATTAACTTTCTCTCCAAGATAAGGGAAAAGAGATACATTCTGGACAGTATACATTCCAGATACCGTATGGAAAGTGTACATCCTTTGTCTGAGAACAGTTGCAGAGCAGGAATTAGTGGGATGTGCTTCTAATAGTTGGTGTTTCCAGATAATTTGGTGCACCAGCCTATCTATCTAGTTCTTAGGGAGCATTGTAGTTTCAGCCATGCTGTGAGCATGTGTGGTTGGTACAATGGTATAGGACTTCCAACAAATGCATCACCCATGGAAACTTTCCATACTGCAGTGTCAGATTCTTATTCTTCTGGCTGTGTATTCAGTTCATCCCATTTCTGCATCAGCCTGAGAATTTTTTAAAAGCTATTTGCAAAAAAAAGTGTATGTATTTCTGTTTCACACACAGTTTTGCCTGATATAGCTTCCCTAGTGGGTTAGTGGTTAGGAATTAGTGCTCCCACTGCCCTGGCCCAGGTTCAATTGCCTATCAGGGAACATGTTTTGAAGAGACTTATTATTTTTTGAGAGCCAATATGGCCTAGTGGTTAGGGTTAGGATTCCACATGTCTGGGTTCTAGTCCCCATTTGGCCATGAAGCTCACTGGGAGAAAGACTCTCAACCTAACCTACCTCATTCTGGCAACCAATTTCTTCCAACATAATTCATTTTTCAAAATTATGTTCCCTAGCAATGCAGTAATATTATGTTCCCTGATATTACAGTTGGGTGAAATATTTTTGTACACATTTTCAATTGGAGGACTCCACAAAATTAGGAAAGGTGCACATTTTAGCATCTGGTGATGCTTGATAGGGAAGGGAGGCTGGCAGCTACACAACACGGCTTCCGCAAAAACAGCTCCTGCTAGATGAAGCTTGTGGAATTCTATGACAGGGTTTTGAGGTGGCTAGATGGAGAGGATGCAGTGGATGTGGTTTACCTGGATTTCAGCAAAGCCTTTGACAAAGTGCCCCATGATATCCTGGTTGAGAAACTGAGGAGTTATGGGATACACCAAAGCACTGTCTGATGGATTAGGGCATGGTTGACTGACCGAAAGCAGAGGGTAACCATTAGCAGGGAATCATCGAGATGGAGGCCAGTGGCAAGCGGGGTCCCCCAGGGCTCTGTCCTGGGGCCGATCCTGTTTAATATTTTCATAAATGACATGGAAGAAGGGGTGAACAGTCTGCTGATCAAATTTGCAGACAATACTAAAACTGGAGCAGTGGCCACAACTGAGGAGCAGGTACTCCAGATCCAAAAGAATCTGGACAGACTATGGAAGTGGGCAGGAGACAACAGAATGGCATTCAATGCGGATAAGTACAAGGTCTTGCACTTGGGGCATAGGAATAGGTATCATAAGTACAGGTTAGGTGACAAGTGGCTGGAGAGCAGCACTTGTGATAGGGACCTCGGGGTGCTGGTTGACTGCAGGCTAAACATGAGTCAGCAGTGTGATGAGGTGGTCAAGGGGGTGAATGCCACCCTTGGTTGCATAGCCAGAAGTGTGGCTTCTAGATCAAGAGAGGTATTACTACTACTCTATACGACTTTCGTGCACCCGCAGCTGGAGTATTATGTTCAGTTTTGGGCCCCTCATTACAGAAAGGATATAGCCAGGTTAGAGTCAATGCAGTGTAGGGCCACTAGGTTGGAGTCCGGTTTGCAGGGGATGCCATATGAGGCGAGACTGAGGGAACTGGGCCTCTTCAGCCTGGAGAAGAGGAGACTCAGAGGGAATCAGTTGGTGACATACAGGTATGTGAGGGGATGTCACAGGGAGGTGGGCAGAGGAAGGCAGAAGAAGGCAGGATGCACTCCAACGGAGCAAAGCTCAGGGAACCAAGGTTCCATTTAGATGCCAGGAAGCACTTCTGACTTAGGACCCCGAGGGTTTGGAATAGGCTTCCACGGGAGGTGGTTGAGGCCCCATCTGTGAGGGTGTTCAAAGATAGGCTGGACATGCACATGGTGGGCATGTTGTGAGTGGAGCCGGCTGGAGCTGGGGGTCAGACTAGATAGCCCAGAAGGACCCTTCTTACTCACTGTGTTTCTGTGTTTCTGTGTTTCTATGTTTTAAGGTATAACTGAATTTAAGTGTGTGTTTTAGTTTGAAAGTATGAAATACGGTAAGTTCATATTAATTTGTTGGATGGATTTATTTCTCCCCAGCCCTAATTTAAAGGCAGTAGAGTAGATCCTTGTGTAATTTAGAAATATAAGGATTCCATGGAAAGGTGAAACTACAGCTGAGACAAGGCAGAGTGCATTACCAGAGCAATCAGCACATTATGCAGATTACTTTAATCATAAGTTTACACTCAGAATCAGGATGGTGAATGGTCCATTCATCTCCTGCACATGCATATTCATGTCTGAATGACAGCATCCATGACAAATTGAGGGATATGCATATAAATGTGTGAGTCAGGCCAAAGAATGATAGAGGAGTGAACTTCTATGCTTTCAAAGAAGGACTTATGGGTTGAATGGGAGATATTCATGATCTTTTAAAAACACAGCAGAGTAGTTATTCTGGGTTGATTAATTTATTTAACTGAGAATACAGAGATACAGTCTTGTGTATTAAGCATTTGTATGGAGTAAAAACAAAAGAAACACTCAGCTATTTTGTCCGTAATAAGCACTTTATGGAGGTGAAAAAATCAAACCTGTTACAGAGCATGTGAGCAGTCAGATTATACGAGAATTCCATTTACACTTGAAAACCTTACAAAAATGCCTGACTTGCACCCCTGAGTGTGAGCACAAAGGCAATTGCATTTTCCAGGAAAATTCTTATGTAATTTTTAATTTTGTAATTTTGCAATTATGTTGGCAAAATGTGTCCTTTTTGGAAAGATGTTCACTTTAAAATGTGAATGTTTAACTTTAAAAGATACAGTTGTGCATTTTAATAAATGTGGGAAAGTGTGTGTCTAAAACATGTGCATTTTTTCTATTTGAAAAATCCTTCATATTTTACCCATACCAGTGATCTCTGAGATGATAAAAGAAGAGCCTTAATAATTCAGAATTGCTTGTTCACCCATTCCAGTTACTGGGGGGTTATTCAGCCCGCACTACTTTAAGTTTGGGTGTGAAAGTAATGCCACATATTTATTGCTGAGTTCTCAATAAAACTTGAGATCAGGATCAGGCACGGCAGCAACTTTAACTAATAATAAAAGAGGGCAAGTTAAATAGTTTAACAATTCAGCCAGCTGTTGCTCCTTTGACTAGAATTAACAACACGTTTTCTGTTCGGGTCAAACTGGATCATGCGGCTTCCCTGGAAGAAGTAGATATAGCCTGAAAAAGAGAAAGAAACAGGAATAAATTAAAACAAAGAAAAACCCTACCAAACCCTACCCTCTTTCTTCGAACAAATCAAAACAAATCCTTCTCTGCACAGATTTAGAATCTTGTGTTTAAGGAATATTTGGTTATATACGTTAAAAAGAAGACATATGGGATGATTAAAATTATGCCTTTATTTCTACCTCTAAGCTCAGGTAAAATTGTGAACTTTGTGGCTTTAAGGTAGCTTTGGTCTTGGGCTACATTTGCAATAGAGAGAGAGTTCCTGAATTGTTATGGGAAGTGTAACCTCCCATGTTGCAACAGTTCTGGTTCACTTTAACTGCTGCGTATTGGGCTTATAATCTCTGCTTCCTCTCCCCTTCTCTAATTGTCGTGGGTAGAGCATTTTCATTACTTCTGGCATATGTCTACAGTATGCATCTTTGCAGAGTTTTGGGGCAGCCATGCCTCCCCTTTGCAGTTCCTTGGTCACCCGAACAGTATTTTGCTAGCACCAATTTGCATTAGCCTCAATTCACATCCCAAACCCAGAAGCAAAAAAATGTTCTGCAAGCTACAGAACCCAAAGGAAAAATCTGGTCAGCTGCAAAATGTGCAGGTCAGATTCCCAGGAATTTGAACTCATTTAGATGCACTTCAGATCTCTCTGACTTTCCTAGTGCAAACTCCCCACTTTCTTGACCTGGAGCATCACACCTCTGATGCAGATTGGGAGCATGTGAACAGGTGGGCAGAAGTGCCAAGCAACCCTGTATGTTCCTTACGGGGCATTTAATCTGCAGTCACAAGGGAGCATGGCAGGAACATTCTGCATCATGACCATCAAACATCTATGGCCTCATCCTCCCTGACTTCGTTTAATTCTGTGTTTCAGCCTTCCAAGTTTGTAGCCACCACTATAATACATGGCAGTGAAATCCATAGCTTTCTATGGGCCTGTGTGATGAAATATTTCCTTTCAACTCTTCTGAATCTCCTACCATTCAGTTTCACTTCACAAACCCAGCATTAACCATCCATAGTTTATTGAAATAAGTCAGTTTCAAACTGAATCCCAACTCTCATTTAAACTAATCAGAGTTCCCAGTTTGGACATAATGATAAATTCAGGTTGGTTTAGGGAACCAGGAAGAGGAACAATCCTGTTGCCTCACAGTCATGCTAAAGGAGGGGACAGGTGAGGAAACAGCATGAGCTGAGAACAGAGCAAGCGCATTTGCGGAAGGGTAAGCTGTGAGTTAGCATTGCATCAGAACTAAAACATAAAATGGGGTAGGAGGAGCCTTTTGTAACTGGTCCCTCCAGATTGCTGCTTCCACACTTCTGCACTCAGAAGATAAGTTCCTCACTTATTCTTTAACTGGAAATGCATATTTGAATAATACATGTGACTTTCTTAAAGTCATAGAAGGATGCATATTGTTCTTATTTCTCCAATGATAATTATGCCAGTCCATTTCTTTACTTACCTTCATGATTTAAAGCAGCATCAATTCTGGGCTTCACGCCTGGAAAATCTTTGGCTATAAATCTTGGGTAGCCCTTTTCCATGGATCGTCTTATTTCATCATATCTGAACAACAACAATATCATATTACTTAGTGATTTTTTAAACAGCTTTTTGTGCAAGTGATGTTTTATTCACTATTCAGGGAAATAGTAATAATATCACTATTATAACTACATCAGCTTGTTTGGTAGAAAATCCAAAACAAATGGAATGACACATTAAATTAATCCCTAAAACATTAATATCTACAATCATATGGCATGAAAGTAAAGTGACATGTAACAAAGAGTTGGTAGTTTTTGTTTTTGTTTCCTTTGCAGCAGGAAGAACAACATCTGAGTGCATTTTTCTCCATATTCATTTGCAAATTATGGAAGTCTAGTAGCCCTAGAAGTTTTAAGGTCATCAGTGCCATTCAAACAGAGCAATTCACCACCTTTACCCAGGGCAGTGAACTTGCAATGTCCTTCATGTAGGAACCATAAGAACCGACAGCACAGTAACTGCTACCAAAGACTTTCAACCTGCCGCAGTACTCTAATACACGCCTTCCCCATCCTGTGTACCCTCCACATGGGTTCGACTGCAGCTCCCAACATACCCCAGCCAGCCATGGCATGCTGGGAGTTACAGCCCGATGCAAATGGAGGATGCCAGGCTGCAGAGGCCGGCTTAATCCAACGCATCACCTGAAAACCTCGCTGATGGGTTAAAATCCCATCAGTGAGACGTTCAGCGTGCATGAAGTAAGGATGGGACTAAATTCAGGCTCCCAGTCCTCCTTTCAAAGAGCGATCATGTAGCAAGGATGTCAAGTCAGGACGGCGGACCATTCAGCCATACCTCCAGTATTTGTTGCCCACAAAGAAATAGGTCTTCCCAGAGTCTGGGTCACTAAATGCAGCATCAATCTTCTTCACATTTCTGGAGAAGCCCAAGTGGTAGATGTTCTGAGGATAGCCAGGCAGGACATCGTATCCATTTAGAACCCAATATTTATTTCCTGCAGTGAAAGTTGATTTACGGTTAAGGAAAGTTAAAATGTCCTTCCTGCAAAGATTCGTCTCTTTGAAGTTTTTGCTCTGGTTATTTCTACCCTGCCCAATAGTCAAGGCTCTCCTGGGGAGTTCCCAGCAATGCGTGAAGCACATGTGCAGTGATGAAAATGAGCAGAAAATACCATTGTTACAAAAACATCACAGTATTTTAATATATATAATTTAAAAACAGTTTACACAAACACAACTATTTCAATAAAAAGAAAAAATAGGCCTGTTTAACTAGACCAGACATGATATGGTATTAAAGCTAAAGAGTAAAAGGCAGTGCTAATTTTGTGCAGAGAGGATGTTGGCACCAGGCAAGGCTCAGTGGGGTGATCATTCCATAAAAGGAAGCTAGTTTTGAATTCAAAACCTCCTTAATGTTCAAGCAGTAATTTACTGCTTTTTCTCCTGAGAGAGAGTTTGAGAGAGCAAGAGTGCACATAGATTGTTCTAGAGGATAATTTAAGTCTTTCTGTCCTGCTGAGCAGAAATAGGCTCCATGCTTTATTTTCCTGTATTTAATGCAAAGACAATGCAGGGGGCAATATTATGGTTCTCATCACAGCAGGAAATCAAAGACAGGAAAGAGTTTTTTCAGTCCCCTGTAATGGAAGTGCAAACAACACCCAGGTGATGAGATACTTTACTGCAGAATATGGAATATGGAAATAACAGTTGGTAGTGTGGCTTCTTTCCCTTGCTTATACAGCAATAACCAACTGCTCAAAAGTGAAGCGTACATGATGGTTCTAAGAGATGGGAGAAGCTAATTTATAGCTTTTTCATTCATTTGCAATCTATCTACACTGGTAAGAATTTTTCTAAACCCACAAGTGATTTATGTAGCCACATTCAAATAACATTTAAAATATTCATTTTAATACCCACAGTATTGCAAATTTTTACAAAACTAACATTTTACCAATGCATGGGGTTGTGGGTTCCTCTGATGGTAAAATGCCTCTGGATACCTGTGCAGATTTAAGATCTGTATTTTAAGGTCACCTTTGGAGCCTCTCTTCCCTTGCTTGCCACCAAGATTATGTAGATTGGTAGGTACTATAGATAAGGCCTTCACCGTGTTGGGCCCTATGCTTTGGAATTCTTCTTGGCTTTGGAAACCTGTATGTTATTTTCTGCTGATGGAGAAGCTGTATTTTACTTAAATTGTTTTATTTAAACAACTGTCTTTATTTGATACGATCCTATTAGTATGTTTATATTGTTGGTATGCTGTAAGCCTCAGGAAGGCCACCACCTTGAACGAGTTCACCACTCACCTTTGAAAAGAAAAACTTGGTCTGTTTCATAATTTTCATAAGCAGCATCTATTTTGGAGGGCAGAGCTGGCCAAAACAGGGAGATGAATATGAGTTCCACTCCTGTTTGAGGGTGTTTACGCCAGAAATGCCTAATTTTAAAATGAAAGAAGCACATTGGAACATTCAGGATCTTAGAAAGAAAAGCATCTTACATCACAGCAAGTAAGGTGAATACATCAGGAACTTGGAAAGGACCCTAAGCTCATTGGGAGAACAAATGCTTTGTACCTTGTGCTCCAACCTGGTGCTCATGGAAACCCAGGTGTCTGCAGACTCCTCGGCAGCCACCAGACTTCCTGTGTCTTCTGATAGTTATTTTATTTCTTAAGAATTTATTTTTTTTTAACTGGCAGGTTGGCATCTGCAAAGCAAACAGCTGCCCTCCAATACTATCTTTATTTGGGCACAAAAGAGTGCTTTTGCATTCCAGTGCCGAGCCATCAACTTAGCCTTGCCCTTAGGTTCTTGGGCCAGCTGCTTTTCTTTTAGCCTCATTGTGGCAGTCCTTTTGCGAGAACACTCATGACACTTTCCCTAAAGTCTAACCCAAAACGGCTTTGCATGCAAACCTTTTCAGCCTTGCCCAGGTATATCTGAGAAAGACGCATGTCTCAAAACCTGAAAGGCAAGAGATGGCATAGATCACCCCTTCCCACCAATCTGGGGCCTTCCAGTTGTGTTGGTCTAAAGATCCTGTCATCCCCAAACTGGTCTGACTCTGTATAAGACTTTTTTCCACAGTGTGTGTGGGAGAGGGAGAGGGAGAGGGAGGGTGAGAGATCAAGGTCTTTGAATTATTTTGGCACAATCCAGACATGTGGCAATATCAAACTGCTATTCCTGGCAATTCATTTGACTTGTGCCTGGACAATTCTTGCATCTGTTCACCAAGCTGCATTTTTGGACCTGGGAATCTTAAATAGTAGACATGCAGTGGGAAGGAAAGCATCTTCTAAGGGGAAAGTGCAGGAAAAGCATTGTCTGCTTCCTTGCTTTTCATGGATTTTCCTTTGCTTTTGGTTTAGCAGTGTTGAGGCACCCGTTGGTTTGGTCTGCTGCAGCAGGGCCTGGGACATTTTGCATTAAAAACTTGTTCCTGCCCGCTGAGCTACAGTCTCTCCCTGAGGGGAAGCCAGTTGCCTGTACAGCATGGATCCATTTTCTTGGCCCATAGGAGTTAATGGGAAATCTGCATGCATTTTTCTCTTCAAGCCCATTGAGTGGCAATGGTTGGTAGTTACGTATGTGGCAACTGCAACCTGTAAAATCAGATTGTGCCAAATAAATCATAGCTGGTTAGTCAGGGAAGTGAATAAAACTATATTTAGCAGCATCAGAAATAAAACGGTTTTGGTGACTGCCTGACTTAACACATTTGTTTGTCTAATATATGTTCCTTTATGTCTGGTAGTTTTTATTTGTCCCAGAAGGCAGCTCCTCATGCTATGCAGCAAGAATACAGCTGGATATTCCTCCCACTGTGCTCAATTTTTAATTCTTTGCTCCTAACCTGCGGTCTATTTCAGGGGAATTGCTCTAATTCAAGGGCGTTCCCATTCATTCTGACCATGTCTTAGTTCCGTTGCATCTATGAAGGCTGGTGTGTCCATTTCAAATAATGAAGAAGCCCAGCCAGCTTGCTGGGTTGTCTTGACTTTTCTTGCCAAGAGCTGGTTGTGTCCTTGTCTTACAAGAGCTCAGCCAGCTTGCTGGGTTGCTTTGATTTGAATCTCAGTTGCCTTAACTCCTATTTTGATGGAACAAATTATCCAGATTGGTGCATTGTTCTTAAGAAAGTGATTTACCTGTCCTTAAAGAACATCATTTCTCCACGAAAAGTGGCGATAGCATCAAAACTGGTACTTGGATCACAAGCTTCTGGTGTTGTGGGTCCAGTGGGTTGTATTGGGCTATCTGTTTTTCCTAAAGTCATGAGAAACAACACATTAAGTGGACAGTAAGAACAATCCAAAATATGGGCATTCACTTTTTGACCAGTTCAGTTCAGGTGGTGAAGGGAACTTCCAGCTGCAATGTAAACAATTAAGACATTTGATCTTTCGTAAATGAGGCTGTTTTTTATGCAATAATGTGTGGGCAAAATCTGTCAAAATATTCTCCTGTGTGAGCCATTCTAAAATTAAAGGGATCTATGGAAGGATACTAGTGGACGATTCACCATTCTTCTTAAAATGTTTGTGTGTGCTCCATTATATTGCAGTTAGAAAAGCAGATCAAATTCATTCAATTCATATTTCAGTCTTAATGTGAATGTACCCATTTTCACATTATCAGAGCATTATGTGAACCAAAAATAATGATTCTTCAAAATGCACACTTCTCTGAATTTTGCAGTCAGGTAAAAAAATGTTTAGGAAGATATATAAATTAGAGAAAATAATCTTCTGAAACACTATACCAAAAATTTGCTTACAAAAATGTATAGATTAAGCAAAAATATGCCCAAATAAATGTATTAAAAGAAACATGCAGAACAATGCTGATGGTTGTTCATGTAATCTTTTAAAAAATCTTAGAGTATGGCTGAAACAAATTTCAAAATTAAAATAACCACACAAAGAAGAAAACAAGGAAAACCGAATTTGACAAGTTTGCCCATCCCTAATTCTGGGTAAACTGAAAAATAAATAGTTTTTGGTAAAATGTATTTGATTGCATGTAAGATTTTATTAGTCTTACTCTTACCATAAATAGCTTGGATGCCATTAATATCATCCTGAGGAAGCCGGAATAAACTAGGCTCTGTGTAAGAGTAGGTGGGGAACATCAGTGCTCCAGGATCGGAGGAGTGAGAGAGACCCAACGAATGTCCGAACTCATGGGCAGCAACAAGAAACAGGTTGCGACCTAAGCAACAGACAAGAATGCTTCATGTTTCAAAGGAAGAAAAATGTGCTGAAATGGAGCAAGGGGGTGCTAATTTAATATGCTACAAAGAACTGTGGCCCAGAGGAAGAACACCGACTAGCATGTAGAGACTGTGGGCCACAATAAAGCAGGCATTAGTGACAACTAAAGACCAAACTGAATAGCTAATTGTGTGGATGCATTTACGCTATCAGGTTCCCCCTCATAAATATAAGGGTGAGGTTAACCTTTGCCTAACACAGTCTTGATGAAAACTTTCCCTGTCCCAAAGACAGAGATATCTCGATCCCATTGGATAGAGAAGAAAACGTTCCCATTGGTACAAGTTTTCTTCTTGGGGCTATCAGTGGCTGGAGATAACATGCAGATTTACCTGCACAATTCAGCCAGGGCTTGGAGGACTGGTCTGGCAGGTTCTGGAGGAGTTCTACTTTCCATGTCCACAGAGGACAGGAAAGTGGGTGAGGTAGAAGGTATCAGAGGAAAGCTGGAGCCCCATGCCTTGACAGCATTGGGCCTTTCAGCTTGGTTCAACTGGTCAGTCTGGTCCATCGACCCATAATTTGCATTTTTTAAAAAATCATGCTTACTGTTAAGTGAAAGTCATATAAATGTACCTTTTGGACCCTTATGTGTCCAAAGTTCATCCAGATCAAAATGGGCATCTCCACCAATGAACTTTCCTGGCTGAAAGGCATGTGCTAGTATCCCATCAGGGCCATCAAATGGAGAATTATCACCGTGGGCTGAAAAAGGAGGAAAATGAATGAGTTCAGTTGGGTTTTAGGAAACAAAAACAAACCCATGACACACGGTAACTCATAATGCTGTCCAGTTACCTCTTCTTTCAAACGAGATCATTATATCTGCTTCTTCTTTTCCATCAGTGACCTCTCTGAATGTCAGAGGGGACACATTGCTCCAGACTTCGAATGCTTTCTGGATTGCTTTGTCCACCTGAGATGAATGCATATCTGTGGTGCGACTCATAATCCTTTAAAAGGGAACAAAGCAAATGAATTCCTTTGGGCACCTGAACATGAAACAAGATGCTGATTTGGGATAGAAAAGCCCAATCCTAAGAAATCCTTTAGGCACAGGCAAAACCTTATGTGAGTGTAGAGCAGGGGTTCAGAACCTCTGGCTCAACAAATCTGGCCTTTCAGGGAATCCTTACTTGGCCTTTTGGGGTTCCCTTTTCTTCAAGCATGTGTCATGTGAAGGTTTCCTGGGTTTTGCACACTTTTTCTTCCATTCAGAAAAGTTGAAATGCCTCTCTTAAGACTTAGTTACTGGTAAAGAGAGTTTTACACTAAAGGATTCTGGCATTTTGGGGGACAGGTGAGTTGGCTGCCCTTTGACTTCAGCCTTATTTACCACTGGGATATGACCCTCCAAGAACTCTCAGACTGAATTCAGCCCTTGGGCTGTAAGTTCTGTCCCCTAGTGTAGTGGGACGTTTATCTCTACCTTTTCCCACTACGAACCAAGATGCACAGAAAACTAAATATTTCTTTGCATTGCATGTGTTGTAGTTTTATTTCGTTTGGTTTTTTGAAATGCAAAGAACAGTGCTGGGAGGCACCCGTAATGATCAGGACTACAGCTAGTAGGGAGTGGAGAGTTCAAGCCACAGCTGCAGTCTTGTATCTTCGGCAGTTGCTATTTCAAACAAATGTGAGCAACAAATGTGACTCTTAAGTGCAAAATTGTCTAGGTTGGCCATCAAAACAACCCCCGTTCCTGCTACTTTGCTGGCACTGGCTACCTTTAGATTTTGCCCAGTCTGATGGCCAGTACGTAGCTTCAGGAAAACTCTTTACTCAGCTGTTTCAGGACTTCCATGAGATCAAACAACAATAACAATCCTACATATAGAAAACCCAGGAATGGTGGGAGCTATAGGATTTTTTTTCTGTCTAAACATGCATAGAATTGTGCCTTAAAAGTCATGTTTGTCTATCATGCCTCAAAACCTGTATCTCCCATTAAAAAATCATCTTAAACTTTTACCTGTATGTGATTTCATTCTTGTCCCATTTTGGTTCCCCTTCAGTGAGGGTGAATGAGTCCAAGTCAGGTACTCCACACCTGGGTTTCATCATCACTTCAACCGTTTCAGTGTCAGCTTGTCCAGTGACATTCAGCCCAAAAAATATCTGCATTTTCTTGAGTTTTTCAGTCAAAGAGACATTGTCATCCATGAAGAATGATCCACCGATCTCACTTTCTTGAGAGTAGAAGTTATTTAAATATTTCTGATAGGGAAACAGACAAACAGAAAGTATGAAGGAACGAATATACTAAATTAAAAGAAAAAGTAATAGATCTAACAGATGTCCCCGAGTATCTGGGATCTTGCATTTCCCAGGAAAATAGATCCTGTCTTTTCTTCCTTGCTTGCCCAGAATGTGCTCTGAAGGTTATAACAGAGTTATAACAGTGCATTAATTAATTTCACTTATTAGCTAAATCACTGGGAGGTAGAACCAGGCTTACTTCTTTCTATATAACCGGACAAAGTGTTACCTGATAATGCTTGTCCCTTTTTCTTTGCACTGTCAAATATGAGGAATAGACATCTGATTTCTCAATAAAAGCTAAAAATTCCACAAAATGGGCTTTGGGTGACATGCTTAGATTCTAGGAAATCCCTAGATGTCCCAAGCTGTACAGCAATCCTAAGAACAGAGCTGGGTACCCTAACATCAGCACAGGGTGACAGTTTGTCCCATAGTACTGCTGAGCTGGCAAATTTCTCCAGCACCCATCTGCGAAGACGGTGCTGTGCCAGGGTATGACATGTTCGTGCAGTGAAGGCAGAAAGGAGTGCGGGCATTGCGAGATGGTGCAGCACCATGGACAGCTCCCTGAAAAGTCTGTTTGATCCCAGAGCAGATGAAACCCCCCACCAGCCTCTAGTGCAGAGGTCCTCGCACTTTTTGAATAGTGGGGCAAGACGCCGGCTTGCTCACAAGGAGATCCTTTTCTCTGAGCGAGTCCAAAATGATCTCCTCGAGAGCAAGCGGCACCTTGCCACGCACATGCGTGTGTGCACGCACATGTGGCGAGCTAGGACGGGCTGGATGAATGGCCATGGCGGGCCGGATCCAGCCCGTGGGCCATCGCCTGAGGACCCATGCTCTAGTGCTTCTGTTTGAAATACTATCATAGGTGCTGATGGACTGGTACAGCAACATGCTAGACTAAGCTATTGATAGGGTGGCCTTGTGTTTTCTTTTACAGAGGACAGTCCTCTGTTTGAATGCATCCTCTCTGTGAAGGGCTGCCCAGTCCAAAGCCAGTTTAAAGATAATGAAGGAAGAAGGAAGAGCTGGGCCTTGAAGCTGCCCATCAACAGAACCTGGGGAGTGAGCAAGGCACCCAAGCCACCAAGTCACCATCTTCCACGCTATAGTGAGGAGCACTACATTTCTATTAAAATCATACCACTTTTTTCTTGAATGTGCATCCTTATATGCAAATTTGCACATGCAATTTTTATGTCAATCTGTCTCCTCCTCCTCCTCCCATTTTTCATTTTTGGTGATGTCTTTCCTCCTTACTATATTCAAAACAACCTATCCCACTTTCAGTGTGATTCATCATGAGCAGCCCTTATGCATGAGGCTATATGGTCTCAATGTGACATTAAGGATACTACAAAGACATGCCATCCTTCTAACAATAAGTGACAACCAAGCATCAAATACTCCTTTCCAATTTGTAATTGTGCCCATGCATTCTCAAAGCTCCAAGGACTAATGCTTGGGTTACTGCTTTTGAGTAATCCCATGGTAGGCAGTTGAAGTAGGGAGGTCATTTACACATTGCTAAACCAGAGTCTCCATCAGTAGAGAAGGCAAAGAAGAACATAGATTTGCATAGCTTTTGCTCATGTATATGCATGTAGCCAAGTTTGAGGGATAGGAACAAATTGAAATGGCTTACATCCTAGACATGCAAAGATAGACAGCAATATAAGCATTGCTTTTTATTTTGCAAACCCCTCTAGGTATGTTCATCAGTTTCACAGCTACCAAGGGGGAAACGCTGTACTCCAAAGACTGTAGCCAGATTTCCTTAACATAATTTGCTCAGGACCTTCCAATTTCAGCAAATACTAACAATATCAATATAGCTTATCAATAAAGATCTTGCAGTTCAAAACAAGTATGAAGGCATTCACCCAAGTCATATGGGCTGTTCTTAGCTAGACCTTTTGGGTCCTGCCAAGATCTCTTACAAATTGATTGCACTTTTTATAACAGAAAATCTGAAACAGTATTTAATGTTGCAAGCCTAGACAAAACTGTTCAAGACATGCAATCTTAGGGCAGTAGCCAAGAGCATTATTCTGAAAACTTAAACAGCACTAATGGAGTTCCATCAAATCCTTCGGTACACAAATGGTTGTGCACTGCACTTGTGCAACCAGTCATGGAAGTTTAATGCACACCTGTTTCTATAACTACAGGTCCATCGTTCAGAACCTAGATTTTGCTAGCACAATGTCTCTTGCACTTGGGGAATGATGCAGTTGTGTACACACCATAGAATACATTTGGAACCAATGTGCAAGGGGGTTTCTAAACATATACAGTATTTAATATAAATGGGATATAATGGATTCCAGGACATCATTCTGAGGATGTGCCGTATCTTAATGGTAGCATTTGTGCTCTGAATGCATAACTTCCCAGAAGAAATCCCCAACATCTCCAGAGGTGGCTTGGCAAGAACCTTTTCAAGCCCCCATTTGAATCCCTTTAGAGTCACCTCCAACCAAGGTACACCAGAATTCCCCAACCTGGTGCTTGCATATGTTCTGGACTATATCCCACATTAATCCAAGCCAGTTTGACAAGGGCCACTAATTCTAGGTACCAGGTTGGGGAAAGCTTGTGTTGGCTAGGAGTGGATAAAAGTAGCCCTCGTTTTGCACTTCAACTGCCAGAAGTCCAAAAGTCCTGCAAGCATGGCCAGTCATGGGGTTGCTGGGAGCTGAAATGTCAAACCTGTGGAAATCCTGAACAGAAAACCAACGGTAGGACTCAATATAAAGAAGCATCCTATGCAGCTTATTTTAAAATCCCCCACACACCTTCTTTTCAGTGGCAAATGTTCAGTGCAATGCTGGCCCAAGGCATTTTACTGGCCCCTTGGCTTCTACGTACTGGACTTGACTCTTTCTTCAGCGCTGGCAATGGGATCATGTCCCTCATCACATCCAAAGCCAGCAGGGCAGCTGAGGGAGCACAGGGCGAGCTGTGTAGCACACAGTTTTCTCCCCCACCACATTGCTGCTGCCCCCCAGTGTCTCTCTCTGCCTCATGATAGGCCTGGCCCTGCTCCATTGTGAACATGGAGGCCTTTTCAGACCAGTAACTTCCCACATTAAATCAAAGATATACAACAATCCCTGCATGAGAAAGGCAGCATTCGAAAGCCAGGATATGAATTGTTCTATTCCGTAGTGGCCAGAAAGTTGAGTTCAGCCATGGAACTCTGGGGTCGCACCTCTGCTGAAAACATCCATCAGTTACCCACTGGACATTTCTCAACCTAGCTTAAGAGTTTGGGGGAAAATGTGCATGGAAAAGTTCCTCCCCGCAATTCCTAGGGTGCATCATCTCCAAACCATATCCCAAATCAGAGGTTAGGTTTAGTGAAGGATTGGAAGTACGGGTAGCTAAGAATGGGGGAAGCCCGTCTGGAGCCCAGATCTCCTTGGAAGAAAGGTTGGATCTATCTGTAGTAAGCAGATAATTGAGGTGTAGATAGATTCAAAGATTTTTTAAATTAGTCCTAGCATGGCAAGAGAGAGTTTTGCATAGCAAATAAAGTAAAACATAAGTACAGAAAAGTGCAGCTTTCAGCTGCTCAGAGTTAATATTTACCTTAACAAAATCCAGGTTGGCATCTTTTTTGTCTGGATCTACTGGGGCAGCAAAAGAGGAAAAAGTAAAGGCAAATAGCAGAAACAGCAGTATTGGAAGACTCATCATTCTTTTCATCACAGCCATGCCTTCCCTCTGAAAAGAGTGTTTTCTCCTCCTAGTCTATTTGTGCTTGGGGAATCCTCCATTTATACAACAGTTGACACTTCTCTGTTCTGACTCATTTATGACCACATCCTCTGGTTAGCAATCATGCAAGCTTCTTCATTAGGCAAGAGTATTAGATTGGACATTATTGCAACTGTTCAGATGAATAAGTAAGGAAGATGATATTACATAATTTCAGAACATACTGACATAATAAAATCTCTGTATCATTATTTTCTCATAGGAAGGTCCCATAGTTGAATATTTTAAAAAAATGAAGGGTAGACTTTTCATTAAAGGTCCTGCAGCTTTTGCTGAGCTGAAATGGCATATATTTTAATGTAAGATTTTATTTTAATTTAAAATTAAATAAGATACAAATAAAAGAAAGAATATATATATATACATAGGAAAGAAACAAAGTACCAAGGGATATTATAGAAACATAGCATGTAATTTCAACATCTAACCTGTTCATAAAAACACAGAAACACAGAAATAGAGCAAATCAGAAGGGGTCTCCCAGGCCATCTAGTCTGACCCCTGGCTCTACTTTGAACTGAGAGTCTAGGGCTGGCGCACCTCAAAAACATTTATTTATTTATTTATTTATTTAGTTAGTTAGTTAGTTAGTTAGTAAACTTCTATGCCGCCCCATTCACCGAAGCCTCGGGGCGGCTCACAGACATAAAAACTTTGTTAAAATAATATAAATTGACAGTATAAATTAAGTCGCCCTGGCCAAAGAATAAAATAAATAAACACTATTAACAGTTAAAATGACATCTGAATAAAAAGGTCTTCGCCTGGTGCCGAAAAACTAATAATGACGGCGCCAGGCGGACCTCTCTGGGGAGTGCATTCCATAGATTGGGCGCCACCGCAGAGAAAGCCCTCCTCCGAGTACCTACCCTCCTAATTTCTTTCACGGAGGGTTCCCGGAGAAGGGCCTCTCCCGCTGATCTCAGGGCATGGGCAGGCATATATGGACGTAAGTGCTCCTTCAGGTAACCAGGACCCAAGCCGTTTAGGGCTTTATAGGTCATCACCAACACCTTGAATTGGGCCCGGACTTCAATGGGAAGCCAGTGAAGCTGACGGAGGACTGGAGTCATGTGAACATAACGCCCAGTCCCCGTCAGCAGCCTGGCAGCTCTATTTTGAACCAATTGAAGTATCTGGACCATCTTCAAGGGTAGCCCCACGTAGAGCACGTTACAGAAGTCAAGACGGGAAGTCACCAACGCATGTGTCACTGTTGCCAGGCAGTCGTACTTCAGGTAGGGGTGCAGCTGATGGATCAGCCGAAGCTGAAAGAAAGTGCTCCTTGCCACCGCTGTCACCTGAGCTTCCAGTGAAACATAGAGCTTTTTTACATGGAGTTTTTATCAGCTGTTAATCTATAAAATCTACTTCTGGTTTTGAAGGAAAGTTGAGATCTGAGCATTATCTGTTTTTCTTTTTGTCTTTACCACTTCATACCCTCCAGGTGGCCCTGTGGTATTGCAGAAGAGCACAAACACACAGGAAGAAATCACGCTTTCTTTTGCTTTCATGTTTAAGTGTGGCATTTCCTTAGTCTAAAAAAGAAAAAGAGAACTAGCTGGTTAGTAGCAAAACTGGAGGTCACAACTTTTTTTAAAGAATCCATGAATAGAAAATGATGAGCTTATGATAAATATCTCATGTAGAAAACTCCATATGGCAGAATATCAGCCTGCAGGTCCTATCCTATTACACACCTGAATTCCTCAGACATTCACCTGAACACCTGAAGGCTCACTGACAAAAGATGAGCAGTGCTGAACCAGACTCTCAGCCCATCTAATTCACCATTCTGCTTGGTCATCTCAATGCATGAATCCCACAGCATCCTATGGGGTCCCCCCCCCACACCCCACAGCAACTGGTGTTGACAGGCATGTGGCCTCTGATGCTGGAGGCGATATATGACTGACATGAAGAGTTTGTATGCGCAATTAGCCGAGGTAAAGGCGTTCATGCATGTTCTAAAAGATCCAAGCCACATTTGTGACTGATGGTTTTAAAGACTAATGTAAACCACTTGCACATTTAAGTGATAATGCTTTCATTCGGCTGTTACAGGGGTCTCCCATGGGAGAAGGTGAGGGGAGTTCCCTGCATATACAAAGCTAGTACATCAGGAATGGACTTAGCTCATCTCTTATCCCTGACATGCTTGTCTTCTATGTGCAAGAAGCATGAGGAGTATGAACATGCAGCTTCTTGCCATGCCGGAGACATGATCTTTTTATTTTCCCAGACATTTTAGGGATTGATTTTAGTGATGATATCATCATCATCATCTTGCACTTATGTCCTACCTATTTTCCTCTTCTGAGGAACAAAAGGCAGTTTACCCAGTTCCGTTTTATCCCTGCAACAATGACCCTGTGAGGTAGGTTGGACTGAGAGGGAGGGACTGACCCAAAGTCACCCAGTGAGATTCATGGGCAAGTGGGACCTGGAACCTGGATCTCCCATCCAGTGCTATAACCACCACATCACACTGGCTCTTTTAGATTTTTTCAAAAAGATATTTACTTTTTAAATCTTCATATTGCTCCATTCCTGCTACTGAGTTTACATACTTTTTCCCCTTAACTGTTGCTTGTGGTTTTCTCTTGTTTTTATTACATTTATTTGGTTTTACTGCCACTTTGTATTTTAAGTTTTTCATGTGTATGCCAATCAGAAAACTTTTATTATTTCAAGGCACTTTCAAGACTTCCATGCCCAAAGGTATTAACTAATTTCATGGAGTTTATGGCAAAGAGAGTAGGTTTTGAAGTTCCAATAAGTTATTCCACAGCAGTCCTTGGATGCCTTGAGAAAGAAGCTTCCTGATCCTACACATCAAAAGACATGGTGCAGCTCTCCTTCTTTTCCTCCCAAACTGTTTTTTTTTTTTGGTGGCAAACCAAAAGAGAGGAGGCAGTAGGAAAACACAGGAGTGTTTTCAATGGATTGCATGCATTGCATGGACCCCTCCAGAACGGTTTCTGAACAAAGCAGGGGGATTCCATGATGAACGTCACATCTGGTGGCCCCCTTTTTCTGTTTCATGACCAGAACCCAGGTCCAGTCTACATTTCACATGTGCATATTTCCACTTGATGACTGCACTGCAAAGGGACATGTGAATGAGCTGTTGGAAGTCAACCATAACAGAGTGGAGCATAGGAAGCTGAGCCAGGCATTCTGGTAACACAGAAGTAACTGTGTCAAATGGGCCCCCATTTCACTCCTTTGGGGATGGCTCAGTGAAAAGGAACAATATTCTTCATGCCCAACCATGCAGGGACCACTCCTGCAACACCCCGTTTCAGCTTTCCCAGTTTTTTTTAAGCCTGCTTGCAGTGCTTTTGTCAAAGTCATCTTCATCCCTCAGAAGAGTGAGAAGCTCATGGTGAAGCCAATGAGAGCTCATGGTGAAGAACAGACTCATTCTGAGAAACTTCATTCGCTCCCAGTGGTGACATCATCTCACCCTGGCAAATTGGGAGAGCCAACAGCTGCCCTGTGTGCCCCCAGTCTGGCCATGAAGAGGAAGCAAAAGTTGGAGGCCGAAGGGAATCAGGACCGTACAAGGAGAGCCCAGAGGGCAGAAGTAAACACACTCATGCGTCTGTTTCAGTCTGGTTTCCAATAATATGATGAATACACATGATGATGGCACCAAGGATGCACACAATGATTCAAATGATTCACACAGACCAATGCTATTCTCTCATTACCCAGAGAAGCACAACAAGCCCAGTATCAAAGAGGGATGTCAAGAAATTGATTTTTAAAAGTCGCAGGCAAACAATCCCTGATGGCAGAGCCAGCTCCATGCAAGTTGAGACAGAAAAACATTGTATAACTCCCACTACACCCTACTAAGCCTTTCTGCCTTGGCTCACGAGCTCGAGAAATTTCTCTCTTCCCCCACCTCTTTTGGCTTGGCTTTGTAGTTTTAGTGCAAGTGTGACAGAGCCATCCCAGAGTGCCTATATAGCACCTGAGGGCCATTGGAGAATGATCTTGGAAAGGCGGAAAGCTACCCCACTGTGGAGGGGGCGAGACTGGAGTGGGCAGATGTTGAGTTACTGTAAAGACTTCCCAGCTTCTCCCACCCACCCCCAAAAACACTCCAGCTAGACAGGTGAAAAAGCCCATCTAGCAAAATGTAGGGGAGGAGACGGGCAAGGCAAAGATGGCCACCATCACACCTCCTGCCAGTGGTTGCATGCTATTGGAGCTCAGCGATTCTGTTTTCGTGACTTTGTGTAGCCTTTCATGGTAGACTTTCCATGTCAACCCAGGGGCCCTGGGAACAGAGACCGTGCGGCTCTTTGCATGACTTTAAAGCCAATGTTCGAATAGGGCACGACATCTCCATGAAGCAAAGGTCTACTGTGCATGGGCCATTCAGCAGTGGCATTTCTTGTCCTGGCAACCATCAAAATCATGGCATTTTATAAGGAGGAAACGAGAACAAGAAGGATAGGAAAATTCTCCTCATTAAGAGCTACCGACTTATTCACAAACCGGGAGCCAGTATGCTGTAGCTGTTAGCAGTACGGGACGGGGGACTTAGGCGATTTGGGTTCCGCTCTCCATTCAGCCATGGAGCCAACTGGGTGACTTTGGGCCAGTCACAAGCGCTCAGCCCAACCCACTTCAGAGGACTGCTGTTGTGTGGATAAGACTGAGAGGAGGAGAATTATGTAAGATGCCTTGCGTTCTTTGGAAGGAAATAATGCAGAATATAAATATAAGAAATAAAACAAAAATTAGCAACTTGAGATTTCAGCCTGTCTAGAGGTCAGGAATGTATGTATTCTACCTTGTCAAAGGTGTTTTCTTGGTTTGGTAACTTTAGTCAAGTTAAGTGTTATTCATTTGGCTTGCCACTTTCTTCTCTTCTTCCTCTTCTTATTCTCCTTGACCTATGTATTTGCTTACGCCCACATGACAGGGACCTGCTTTAGAAGTCAAAC